TGCAGCTCTGGGTATAAGAAATGTGTGTGAACTCTGAACTTTATACTCAATCACCCAATCTGAGCTTAAACTTTTCTAAAAATTAAAATCCAGTGAAAAAAATTAAAATATATTTTCTACAGAAGATTGGTTAAATAAACAAAACTTTAGTTTGTGATAAAGAAAGGCTTTGAAAGAGTCTTAATACCTTTATTTTAAAAACATGCAAAGAATGAACATATCCATCAATAAGGTATCATAACAGACCAAATACTTGAGAGGTCTGCTGTTCCCTGTAAATTTATGTTCTGTGACCCAATCCTCAAGTGGGGATTTTAGAGGTGGTTTCTTTGGGAGGTGGTTACATCATGAGGATGGATCCTTCCCAAATGAGATTAGTGACCTTACCGGAGAATGTCCCTACCCATTGATATGCTAGGTTTCAGCAAGAAGTCAGATATTAATTGGGCCTCACCATTCCCTGACCCTGGACCACAGCTTCCAAAAGTGTAGGAACTAGATTTCTGTTGATGGCATGTCAGGCTATAGTTCCTGCCTGCCTCTGCCTCCCAAGTACTGGATTAAAGAGGTACAGGACCATCACCCGACATTTTTGCCACACAAACTTTTTTCCCAGTTCAAACTATAAAATTGAGTTATCTGAATCCCCTAGGATACCAAATGTCCTTGACAGGGAAGAAAGGATTCCTGCCTTTCGTGTTCATTGATACAATGTTATCATTGAATTATATACTTGGGATCTCACAAGTTTAAACTGAATTATTTATTCTGAACCATGACATGATACTAAAATAGCAAGTATGTAACATGTTAGGTTTTCCTCTCAAGCATGATTCTGTCTTCTTCAGACGAACCCAGGGATAGTTACCTCTCATCTTAGAGCTCTCAGGGAAATCCTGAAAGGGCTTGGGCTACCTCCTACATTCCCAAGACCCATGAGAAACAAAGATGCAAAGACCAGGTGCATCAGAGGGAACAGAAAGCAATTATTAGGACAAATTCAAACAAAATATCTGACTACACTGCAGGAAGTAAAATTAATCTTCAGATGGGAACAAAATTTGTAAAGTGAAAAACTTAAGATAAATCTATTCTCACAATGCAAAATTAATTCATTGTTCCTATAAAACGAGAATTGCTTCTGGAAGACATCTTAAGTACAAAGACATTCTTTCTTCTAAAGAAGCGACTATTACCTAATTAGGTTACAGTCAATACTTGGTTCAATTTCCTGGCTTTTCTATAGTCCAGTTTTCAATGGAAATAATTTGCAGAGTAAAGAAACTTGTGAAAACATGGCTATTTCACAATTGCAAATGACCAACCTGAACATCCAACAACTATATCAAGGCAGAGCTTTTGAAATCTAGTAGACAAAACGCAAAGTGTTTTCTTAAATTTGAATTTCAGATGATCTCTACAAATTACAAGTATATGACAAGTATTCAATGAGAGTATCCTAACGATCATTTTGAGGTGAAAAATACGTCATCATACTAAAACACCTCATTAAATTTAGTACGCTGTAGTGCACTCAACTTGTTTTGCATTATAAAATTATTCATTATTTCATATTTGAATTTGACTGTATCTCTCTACTTTATCTACTAATTGTGTGCAAGGATTTTCTAGTGGTGATTATTTGCTTCTTTTAGACTATCAGTCTGTGATAGGGATGGTGATATTCCCTCTTAAGCAGTGCCTGATATGTAATGGACATAAAGCTGGAGTATGTCTAGTGACCAAGTGATTCACTCAGAAGTCTTTTCCCCTTTGAAAATTCCAAGTTCTGAAGTATTTGGTATCTTCAATTGAGCATTCATTCTCTCCCTCCAGAAATATTTCTTAATTGGGTATAATCAGATGACCAGATCCCTTCTTTTGTCGACCAGATCCCTTCTTTTGTCTCAACATTCAGTGGTAAATAATACATTCTGTGATGGTGAAGATGCTACCAGGCTTTGGTTTGTAGAACTTCCTCTAGGATTGTATATATATGATCATCAAATAGATGTGATTTACTAAGGTTTTACACAAAGGTATTCTGTCTCTATTTCTGATCAAATGCATGTATGCTTGTGCATACAGATTACATATAGTTGAACATGCATATACCAGCAAATATTCAGATTCCAAATAAAGGCATGTGATTTGTGATTTTTTTTACATGTGTGTATGTGTGTATATTTCTAATAAGAGAACTTTTATGTGGCCCTGGCTGCCCAGGAGCTCACTGTGTAGACCAGGCTAGCCTCAAACTCACAGAGATCTGCCTGCCTCTGCCTTCCGGGAGCTGATAGTAAAGGCGTATGCCACCCTGCCCAGCCTGATGGCATGTGATTGTATCGGTTTAGGATCAACTCACAAAGGCATATGCACATTCTCGAGGTGACACTTGTCAGAACCTGTGAAAAGTTCCACAGCAGACTCCCGATGCTCTTGCCTACTTGATGTCTTCTATTCTCCCATGGCTTGACTCTTCCAATGGCTCACTTTCCAAGAACTTCACCCTCGCTCCTTAGAACTCTCCAAACCACTTGTACTGCTTCTCCAGGTCAACTTTCCACTGTTGTTACACTGGAGAATTAGTTGATACCTTGTTTCCCTGCAAAGCTCAGTACTGAATGACCCCTCTTTATGCTGGCTTTTGTGCCTTCCCAGATGATTGGGCAATATTCTGAACTATGAGAATGAAGTTATCAGGGGTCATAGATTCACCTATTAGCTCTTTTAGAGAAACTTTAGTTTCTATCTTGGTTATGTTTGGTGAATCAACTCTAATTATGAATTCTAAAGTATCATTCTGATAGGTCCAACTAATGAAGAGCTAACATAATCATTGTTATTATCGATGGACTATTCTCCCAGGCTAGTGGAAAAGCCTTGATAATCGAGACCTCCTGTATTGCCACATGTTCCCCTGTGTAAACTCAGCTGTTGCTTCTCCCCCTCCCTCCTCCTCCCTCCTCCTTTTCCTCCTCTTCTTCTTCACCTGTTTATTTCCAGGGGTGGTGCATGCCACAGCCTTTGAGTAGGAAACAGAGGACAGTCTTCTCTCCATCTGGTGTGGGACTAGAGGATCAAACTCTGCTTATCGGGCTCGGTGGCTAGAGTCTTTATCCACTGAGCCATCTGGCCTGTCCAGCTTCTTCTAAGCAACCGAATTTCCTTTTGTTGTTCCCTAGGTGTTCAGATCTAGTGAGATGGCTTGGCATTTCAGATGCAAGTTTCTTCACAAGGAATTCTATGCTTGTCATAGCACGTGCATTCTTGGTCTCCAGGAAATCAAAATGCTTTCAAAGGAACATGTGACTTCAGTGTCTTTCAGTTTGTTCCCCCCCCCACGCCACCTAGATAATCAGATTTTCCAGTTCTCCTTTCTGCATAAATACACATCTTTAGGTAAAAGTCCCTGTCTACTCCAGTCCAAATTCAATAAGCATTCTCCCCCACTGAACTCTGGGCACATTTCTAATGAATACACACACACACCTGTTGTTATGGTAGCAAAAACGGCTAGAAATTTTCTTCCCCTATTTTCACTATTTCTTCCCTATTTCCACTCTCAGTCTTCATTAGAAACTCTGTGGCATTCTTGTTTCTATGCATGGGAAGAAGAAGGTCAAGGATCAAATTCTTAGACTGATATGTGCTCCAAAACAAACACGCTAGCATCAAGATCTGCCCTGTCGTGACTACAGTGCATTTTCTCCATTCACAAACCGATAGCAAGATGCATCATTAGCTCTGTACATTGAGCCTGTGTTCTGAGGCGGTGGGAATTCTGTGAGAACTGGTAGTGCAGCTGAAACAGACCTCGGAATTCCAATTTGTATGCATTAAGCGTCCGTTGAATTTTATAAAGCTACAGCACTGGCTTTGAGACAATACCAGAACACAAGAGTACACGCTGTACAGATCCCTACATCAAACTGAGTACCAGGGATAATTCCAGAACTTGGTTTTTTTGTGCCTTTGGATGTGACTCCTGAAAGCTTTCAAATGGATTCTCTTATCAGAGCAAAATGTACCAATCATTCATATATATAAAGCACATCACATATATGAAAATCTCACGAATATTCAGGACAGCGTCTTTAGACTGTTGGCTGGCATCACCACCAGCTAACTCACTTCATGTGGACTTCAACAAACATTTCAGGAATATCTATTAAAAATCCCCACTCCACCCCCAAGCTGGGAGTTCAGGTTATAGCACTCACGCTCTTACACAAAAAGACAAACACCTCCACAGAAACAAGCTCGTAAGGGGAGGATGAAATGCCCATCTCCTAGGAAGCACAGGGTGTGTATTAGATATCTATTGGGTACCCTTCAATCATGCATTTAAAAAATACTTCCTACCGGAGGACCCTATGCAAAGAGACGACACTTGGGAAGTTAGATCCACCGAGACCACAGCAGTGCACTGTGCGAGTTCCCGCACAGCTGTGCACAGCTCGGCAGAGTAATTGGGGTCTGGGGAAGGGTCAGCCCGGACCAAATGGTCACAACAGGACTGAGGATGATTGGAGTTAACTGCCCTAGTGGTAATAGGGGCTGGAACTACTTTACTTACTTGGAAAATGCAAAGGAAGAGGGAAGAGAACACAGTTTACCCAGGCTCCCTCACCCCTTCCTGCTAGGACCCACTTGGCAAGGCAGAGACGACAAAAACCAAACGAAAGACTTTCCCAGGGGTGAAGCCCAAAGGTCAGTCCCAAGCTGTGCCGGACAATGGGGACCCAGCCTCCTCTTGTATCTTCCTGGGGGGGGGGGGGGGGGATGAAGGAGTCTTAACGAAGCGAGCTCCCCCCCTCGCACCCCTCCCTCCCGCGAAGATTCTCAGACCCAGCGAGTTCCACTCCACCTCCAGCCCGGGGCAGAGGAGGGGCGCAGGGCTGGGACAGGCTGGGATCGGCCACGCCCCTCTCCTGCCGCTGCGCGACCCCGGCCCCCGCCCGCGCTCCTGCGCCCCCGCCCCTGTCCCCGCGCGCCGCGCGTGCCCAGCCCCGAGCGCGTTCCCGCACTCCCGCGCCGCTGGCTGCGAGCGCTCAGATCCTGGCCGCCGCCGCAGCCCTTTCAGGCAGGGGACAGCGTCCGGCCCTAAGCCCCGCGCCTGGCCCGGGCTCGGTTCCCGCGCCCAACCGTGTCTAGCCCCGCAATCGCCTATTCTCTCTCTCTCTCTCTCTCTCTCTCTCTCTCTCCCTCTCTTCTCTCTCTCTCTCTCTCTCTCTCTCTCTCTCTCATCACATGTCCACCTAGACCCTGGCCAGTCATCGGCGTCCCCTGCCTCAGTGTCCCCACCCTCCGCACCCTAAGTTGCACCCCAGCGTCCAGCGAGGGGTCGCGGACCAGGCTGGAGATGCGAATCCTGCAGCGCTTCCTCGTGTGCATCCAGCTACTGTGCGTGTGTCGCCTGGGTAAGTGATAGGACCTCCGCGGGGCGGCCGAGCGGGGCTCAGTCCCTGGGACACGGCTGGGGGAGGTTTTCAGAACAGTCGGCAGCACCCTGGAAGTCACCCTGGCCTGGCCTTCTAGATGTCACCCGCGCGGACTGCGCCTCCACCCCCTCAACCGCGAGGCCGCCACCTGCCGGGCCCCCGGACTGTGGCTAAGTGGTCAGGACACCTGGACCCCCGAGTCTGCCGAGTCAGGGTTCCCTCTTGCGCGCCCTCTCTTCTCCGCGTTGCAAACTGTGGAAACAGCCTTGTAGACCTATATACGAGGATGAGTCGGTGACTGGAAATACAATCCAGCGGTGGCGAGGGGCTGCGACCGGAACGTTCATTTTTATGCTGCCAGGACTGTGGACCTGAACGGAAAGTACACGTATCTGTCTTGAATTACACGCACTCGCCTGAAAGATACTGAACTGAACAAGCACCGACCTGATTTCTCGGTGGTTCGAGTACTTTCAGTTTGGTCACGTTCAAGTCCAGGCAGCCATTTACAAAAAAAAAAGTTTCAGTCAAATCCCTAGGAGCATTCTGCCCCAGCTTCCAGAGCTGCTGGTGATGGGCTTACCGGAGACCCAGATTTTCCTCAAAGCCCTCCATACCATAAACGTGTAAGACGACGTTGTGCTCTGCGGCCAACTGTTTGAATCACCAGGGTGTGTGTGTGTGTGTGTGTGTGTGTGTGTGTGTGTGTGTGTTTCTATTTTCTTACTGAAAGCAGCCTTCATGGTGACTATTTGGAGCCATGAACCTAAAATTTAGGATATATGCCTCGATTTGTGATTTTAACTGTTTAGCTCCCATCAGTCCCATAACCCTACTTTTAACTTTTTAGATTGTTTATAGTAAATGATATATTCGGCGTGCATTTCCAGCCAGTGGGTGGTGCTGCTTTTGGAGTCCTGGCCTTTGTAAACAGAAGTCCTTTCTAGTTCTGATGAGAATTGTGTCGCCACTATAGTGATGGCTGCCTGCACCTCACTCTGTTTATTCTGTACCTCACTTCAGTCCCTAAGGCTTGATGAAGGTGTTCAGAATTGGTGTGCTGGACGCCTTGCACACTGCTCACGTGTAAGACAGCAGGACCCCCCCTCCCAGTCCCTTGCCTCTGCCTGACTGCAGGCTTGCAGTTGAATGCGAGTCTGGAAGACACCCCAGCATTGGAAGAACTCTTGTAATCCACACCTGTTGAATTTGCATTTCCGCATTCCACTCATAGGCATTTTAGCAACAAAGCCAGGTCCCCTTGATACTTAAACTATTGTTTAAGGAGATCTTGCGGTATTAGGGATGCAAATTACAGTGTTGCTCTGCACTTCAGCAAAACAGATGCCCAAGACTACATTAAGAATGGTTTTAATTAAGAAAAACAACATCAATTGCCACACCGTTCATCTGTTTGAAGTGTAAGGTTTGGGGGTTATTTGGCAGAGTTAGAGTTGTGTGTCATTATTGGCATCTGATCCCAGAGCATGTCATGAGCCCTCCTTGCTCATTAATAGACATTCCCAGCCCACCCCTCAGCGGTCTGTGTCTATTGACAAGCTTGCTCTGAACATTTCATCCGAACAGAATCCTGAAGCATGCAGCCTTTCATGCCTGGCCTCATTCACTCAGCAGAAGGTTTTCAAGGTTTACCTGTGTCATAGGGAGTATCAGCACTCACTGGTTTTTATAACTGAGCTGGATCCCATTATATGCAAATCACACATTTACAAAGTTGATTTTTATTTTTTACCCCATAAGGCATTTCCTGTAGCCTGCTTAGGGTTGTATAGATTTTGGCTTATTGGCCACATGCATTTGAAGACATAGAGCATAAGGGGGAAGAACTGAATGCATTGTTCAAGACATTTATAGGCTCATGTCAAGGCATCAAATCTAAGCCTATCCATTGTAACTGAAATATGAGCTTTCTTTCTTTCTTTCTTTTATTTCTTTCTTTCTCATTCTCTCTGCTCTCTCTTTTCTTCCTTTCATCCATCCTTCCTTCCTCCCTTCCTTCTCCCTTCCTCCCTTCCTTCCTTTTTCTTTTCTTTCTAATGACTATTACTGTGAGAAGACTATGTTTTTATCCCTCGCCATTTTAAAGCAGCCCTCTGCATTGCTACAGATAAGCTGACCTGGGGACACTGGTCAAAGGGATAGATATATTGACCTTCTGGTGGCATATTTTGCAAAACTGAGGCACATTATCTACAAATGGAAAATTCAGCCTCCCCTTTAATGCCCGTCCATGTATACATCAGTGTTTGGGGATCTTCAGTTGTTGGAGCCATCCAGGTACTGTACATACCACCATAAAATGTGGTCAGTAAAAGGTTTGAGTACTGACTGAGGGAGTGATGCATGCTGGCAATTCTTAGATAGTTAGACCACTATTCATACCATTATCCAGGAGAATTCACTAAAGTACTCACTGTTGACAGTTAAGAACATCTCTGTGATCAGGGCAGTATCACTGTCTGAGTCCCACGCGTCCTGATCATTTGAACCAAGCTATTTGATTTTCCCATAGGAAGGTAGGATCGTTGAGTCATGGAGGGAACCGAGGGGCTTGAGGAGCCATTAAGGAATCACTTCTTTTCATTCATGAGACCTTAGGGTCTTAGAATTAAGCCAGTCACAGAGCTGCAAGGGCCAACAAATCCTCATGTTTGCACACTCTTGTTAAATAGGTAACAGGTGAGATTCTGAACTTCCTTGTCATGTCTCACTGCTGTGGGGGCCACGTTAAAAATGGGTCACACCCTAAGGCCCCTGCAACAATTATGACTGCAGTGGGTTCTGGGTGTGGTACCAGGGGCTCCTTCAGTGTTGACTCTCAGTTTGTCCTCACCAGTGAGTCATCTCCCTCCAAATAATAACTAGTCACCATTCAGGAAATTTATTACTTTTGATTAGCATGATAACACTTTCTTGTACTTGGGAATCCCCCTCCCTCGCCGCTGCCACCTTCAGAGCGGGGCTGCTCTCAAGAGAGAAGTTTGCGGAAGAAATTACCTTATCAATGAATTATTTCTACACTGGAAATGAAGGGTCTCACTAACATTGTATATTGGGAGAATTTTGCTTCTGGGAAACAATTTTCTTCTGGAAGCATGATCTGTTCCCCCCTCTCCTCCCACTTCAGGGAGGTCTGAGTGAGTCTGTCCTGGGAGTTCAATTTGAGTACCTGTTTGCTAATGTCTGTCTCAGATTGTGTCTGGAAATGGCTCCGCCAGCCAAGAACACAGCACCTAAAGGAAGTAGTTGGTGCCTTAGATCCACTTGCCAAGCATCCTTCTGGTACCATTCCTGTGAATGTCTACCCATCTTCTCATTTCCTTCTCCTTCTGATATAAATTACGGTGAGACAACATAGATACAGAGAAGTCAAATGACTTTCCTGGCATCACACAGCCTAGTTAGTCTTTGTTTCTTCCAAACCAGACACTTCCTTTTCTGTGGTTTGTTTTTGTGTCTTTTGTTTATTCGTTTTGCTTTAGACCGGGTCTCCTGTAGCAGGCTGGCCCTAAAAACTCTGTGTAGCCAAGGATGGCCTTGAACTCCTGATCGTCCTGCCTCCACATTCTAAGATCTGATGTAGGAGGCATGTGCCACCATGCCTTGATGATGCCTTTTGTGTTCACTCCGAAAGTGCATTTTCCCGTTGAGAATTTACAGACTCGAGTCCTGGAACGGGATGTAGCATGTCAGTTTTGTTTGCTTTCCTGCAAATGCCCCTGGTGACTTTCCTTGTACATTTCCATGTTGTATTTATTTCCCTTTCAAAAAATGAAGCATCGTCTGTCATATTTAGGCGACCTCAATGTAATTTTGAATATTGTGGCAAATCCATACTGTTCGTGATGAAGGTAGCCCCACCTAGACTACTGTTTCCCTTCCTTCGCTGTTGTCTGCTGCACAGAAAGAACCCAGCAGGGCTGAAGAGGTCTTGACACCTGTGCCCTCCACCCACACGTTCTGATTCAACCCCACACCAAAGACCTTTAAATCTTATTTTTAAGCCATTCATGATGGTTTATGCCTATAATCCTAGCACTTGAGAGGCTGAGGCTGGAGGTTCCTGTGAGTTCATGACCAACCTGGGCTACATAGTGAGCTTTAGACCAACAGCCTCTTCTACAGAGTAAAATCTGTCTCAAAAACAACAAGAGCCAATAAATAAATCAATACCACCCCCAAGAACCGCATCCTAACTTTTGTGATTTTTACTCCATTGACAGATAGTTGAGAGTAACTGTCTTTTCCAGCAATCTGTGAATGTGTTAAATGTGTTAGTTCTCAAATATTTTAAAATGCTTCCGCTCACTCTTTAATGCTAATGGCGAGAGCCAATTTAAGTAAGATACATATATGCGTGTATCTGAAGTCATTAGAATTATCTGGAGTGTTAATACATGGCTTGTGTAATGGGAACCAATTTTTATCTATATCTGCAATTCTTCTGATATATGTATTACACGCATTAGGTGTTAAAAGGAAATATTTTATGCTGTTGCACATTCCTAAAAAATAATTCAGTTTTTAAATTATGCTGCTTAGTACCATGGCCACTAGGCATATGTGATTGATTCATAGTCTATCAAAGTAAAATCACTCACTTCCTTTGCTCACGCTAACCGTCACAACTGAAGTGCATCCTAGTCATCTGTGTGTGTGACTACAATGTAGGGCAATTTCAGCGCATTTCCGTCACTCAGGAAATCTACTGATTGGGAGACAATGGTGCAGATGGCAAAGTACGTACCTTGTAAGCATGAGGACTGGAATTCAGAGCCCACAGTGAAGCCACGTGTGATGGTTTCTGGTTGACGTTCCAGTGGTGAAGACTGAATAACACAGGCGTGTCTGTGGAGCCTACTGTCCCAACAGTCCCGCCTACTAGACAAAGCTCTAGGCCAATGGCAGACCGTCTCACACAAAAGTGGGTTGCACCTGAGGAATGACACCTGAGGTTA